CCCATAACACCTTGACTAAACCCTCCAGTTCTTTCCTAAGAGTTGCCATGGTCACGGTGTCTCTTCACAACAGCAGAACGATGACTAAGACAGGTACTTACCGCCAACACCGACAGCATGGCTTCCATCCCTGGGACCTGCTTGGCCGAGAGAACCAACTCCCCAAAGTTGTCCTCTGCCCTAAGTGCATGCATGCTAAGGTGTGATAGTGAAGAACGGAATCTACCACTAGATGGAGACAAGCCATCATCTCTTCCCTTAAGACTTCTCTAATGGAGCGGGTCAGTCACCCCGCCAAGGGTCCAGCATGAGGAAGGCGAATCCACCTTAAACCATGCTAAAGGAACAGGAGTAGTAATTATCCCTGTAACGCGATACTTTGTTTTCCCAGAATTCCTGCTCTGACGCAGTCCCTACAAGCTATTGTATGGTTCCGCTGGGTCTGCCCACCTTTTGGAATCCTGACTTTTTGTACTCCGTCATTTTCTTTTGAATACTGACCAGAACCTGAGCATGCTTTCTTTCCCTTGGTACTTTGGGCTTCCTTGCTTTGCTCCACTCCCCATCCTGTGGCTGACCTCCACGCTGACTTAATTCAAGCAGCGTGGGCATTGTTTGTCCTCTCTTTTCGATTGTCCTCCTCTGAGCAGCTGCTGGGATTTACAGCTTGCCTGTCCTGGGGGTTTTTCTTTTGAATTCTAATAGGTTTTTCCTTTGAGCTGGAGTTACAGGCAGTTGAAAGGTACCTGGTGTGGGTGCCAAGAACTGAATTCGGGTCCTGTGTAAGAGCAGTTTGTGAGCTGCTGAGCCATCTCTCCAGTCTTGTGAGTGGCATTTTACATGAGACAGACTATGTCAGTGTGCATGCATGTAGAAGTAAACTTTAGATCATGAAACTTGAACACACTCGCCATATACATATATGTGTGTGTATATGTGCGTATATGTGTGTAATCTGGCTTTCCACACTATATATTATGTATAATGATTTGTTTTTAAGGTTTGCTTTTATTATTTTCAATTATGTATATGCATAGATACCTGTTGAGACAAGAGCATTGATCCCCTGGAGCTGGAGTTACAGGTGATATGAGGTACTTAACATGGATTATACTGGGAACCAAACTTGAATCCTCTGCAAATGTGGTATCAGTAATTAACCCTAAAGCCACCCCTCCAGCCCCCAGATGCAGAAAATTTGTATATAGGGTTGTGATGTAAACTTTGTCCTTACTCTGTCCCTGTCCCAAAATAAATATTAAAATATTTTTTAAAAAGAAAGAAAAGGCTAGGCAGTGGTGGCACACATCTTTAATCCCAGCACTTGGGAAGCAGAGGCAGGCGGATCTCTGTGAGTTTGAGGCCAGCCTGGTCTGGTCTACAGAGCTAGTTCTAGGACAGCCAAGGCTACCAAAGAAACCCTATCTCAAAAAATAAAAAAAAAAAAAAAAAGAAAAACATAAATAAAGGAAGAAAGGAGAAGGGGACATGAGGAAATTATTGTTTCTGTCTTTTTTCCATGTGTTGGAAACCCTGTCTCAAAAAAAACAAAACAAACAAACAAACAAAAACCACAAATCTGAATCTTCATCTCCATGACGTGGAAAGAGAAGGGGTGGAAGTTGAGACTCATAATGCAGGAGAAGGTACGTGCTCCACTAGAATTGGAGCAGAATTAGTAGGCATGTTGGGTGGCAGGAATTGCTTCCAGACTTGTGTGTATAATAATGACGAAACATTGTTTAGTCAGATAGAAAAGAAAAGTTAAATTAATAAAGTCAGGAGATACTGGAAGGCAGCCACGCTCTGGTAGGTAAGAGACATAGCAAGTTGAGAACAGGCTGCAAGAATGGTTACAACTTGGGGGCAGCCAAGAGCCGAGTGGGAAGCAGACCAAGAGAGACGGTTTCCAGGTCAAAGTTCTACTATGCGAGCTCTATTTACCGTTGCCCTGGCAGTGGATCCCCATTGAAGGTAATGAAGGATCTAGAGGAGCCTCTTACAAATGTAGTTGTAATTCAGGGGCTCTGCTTAGTCTGTGTTTGGTCTACTTTGGGGTAAGGTCAGAGGAGGAGTTAAAAAGGATTTGGTTGGGGCTAAAGAGATGGCTCAGCGGTTAAGAGCACTGGCTGCTCTTCCAGAGGTCCTGAGTTCAATTCCCGCAATCACAAGGTGGCTCAGAACCACCTGTAATGAGATCTGGTGCCCTTTTCTGGCCTGCAGGCATACATGCGGACAGAATCCTGTATACATAATAAATAAATCTTTAAAGAAAAAAAAGGTTTGGTTGGCAAACAAGGGAGATGTCGTGAAGGAAATGATAGAGCTTCTGCTTCCTGTCCTCCACCATATTGTTCTACTTCATTACCAGCCCAGAAACATGGAGCCAAGTGCATGGACTGAATCCTCTTAAACCCGAGGCAGAGATAAACAGTTCTTGCTTTGTTTCTGTCAGGTGTGTGGTCGCAGTGATACAAAAGTAACACATGCATCATCGCTTCTGGAGATTCTCGTTGTCCAGACAGCATCAGGTTAGGATCAACCAACATAGCCTCTTATCTCCTAATCCAGTGTAAAGGTAGTATGTGCATAATTAAAACATAAAACCTTATTGTACAACTCTCATGTGGTGCGGGAAAGATGCTCCCCCTAACCCCAGCCCATCAATATCTGAGGCAGACGGAAGAGCTGGCCTGATGTCATAAGAGCCAAAGAGCTGTCCCTGCCCTTCATCATCTGCAGCCCTCAGGAGATTGGCCCTTACACCTCACCTGGACAGCACTACTGTGTTGCTACTGAGCTGGCCCTGAAGGTGTAGGTGTGGGAGAACCGCCGTGAGGATGTGAAAGCCAGAGAAATGCCCCTTGCTTATCTCTGCAAGAGGGGAACTGGCCAGGGCAGTGCTGGAGAGCTCACCCTGGCGGTGAAGACAGGAGAGAGCTGGTGGGGCTGACAAACCCTGCAACTAACCAGGCCCAGACCTAGGGTTATCTGTTGGCTCACCCCCACATCCACGCCATCTGTGATCTGCTGGAGCATGGGGTCGGGGTTGGTCTTGTGGACCCAGGGCTACAGGATCTCCAGGACACAGGCAGCAACAGAATGTCCAGGAAGAGTCTCAGTGAGGGCCCAGAGTCTACGGTGTAGCAGAGACCAGGGGCCTCAAACCAGATCAAAGATTCTTTGCAATGAACGCCTGCATGTAAAAATATATGTATGGATAAAGGGGTCTACTGCATGGGGAAAAAAAAAAACAACCTTATTTTAAATTCCAATACAGTAAACACTCTTCAAAAAGAGTTTTCCAGCTGGGTAAGGTGGCTCATACCTGTTATCTTAGCACTCAAGAGGCTGAGGCAGGGTCATTTCTGCAAGTTCAGGCTATTTTTAGTTATAGAATGAGACTGTTTCTAAAATGCCAAAACTTAATTCTTGATTTTTATTTAACTTTGCCAGGGGCCTGGGGTTGTACCTTAGGGGTAAAGTACTTGCTAAGCATGTACAAGGGCATGGGTTCAGTGCCCTGTGCTAAAAAGCAAAAAACCAAAACATGGGAAGAAAAACGAGGATTTTAATCCTTCAAATTTGGGGGCCTGGAGAGATGGCTTAGCAGTTAATAGTACTGGCTTCTCTTCTAGAGGACCTTGGTTTAGCACCCAGCACCCACATCGTAGCTCACACAAATCTGTAGTTCCAGTTCCAGGGGACCATATGCCCTCTTCTGACCTCTTCGGGGAGCTAGGCCTGCAAGTGATACACAGACATACATACAGGCAAAACATTCATACATGTAAAAAAATAAATTGGCAGGGGCCAGCCGGATGGCTCAATGGGTAACATGCTTGCTGGTAAGCGTGGTAGCCTGAGTTCAAACCCTGGGACCCGTGGGATGGACAGAGAAAATCCTGAAAGTTGTCTTCTCACCTCCACACACATGCTGAGGCATGTGTATCACCCCTTAAAATACATAATATATAAATATATAAAATATATAATATAAATATAATATATATAATTATAGCAGCCAAGTGGTGGTGGCGCATGCCACTCGGGAGGCAGAGGCAGGTGAACCTCTGAGTTTGAGGCCAGCCTGGTCTGCAAAGGACAGCCAAAGTTACACAGAGAAACCCTGGCTCAAAAAAACAATATATAATGTATGTAAGCTGTGGGATGTCTTTCTGTACACTGTGAATATATGCTGTTCCCATTGGTTAATAAATAAGCTGGGGCTGGAGAGATGGCTCGGAGGTTAAGAGCATTGACTGATCTTCCAGAGGTCCTGAGTTCAATTCCCAGCAACCACATGGTGGCTCACGACCATCTGTAATGAGATCTGGTGCCCTCTTCTGGCCTGTAGTCATACATGCAGGCAGAACACTGTATACATAATGTATAATAAATAAATAAATCTTTAAAATAAATAAATAAATAAGCTGCTTTGGCCTATAGCAAGGCAGCTTAGAGGCAGGTGGGAAATCCAAGGAGAGAGACAGGAAAGAGAAAGGCAGAATCTGGAGAGAGGCGCCAGCAGCAGCCAAAGGAACAACAAGATGCCAGCAGACCAGTAAAGCCACAGCCACATAGCAACACACAGATTTATAGGAATAGGTTGAATTAAGTCGTAAGAGCTAGCTAGCAAGAAGCCTGAGCCATAGGCCATGGCCATACAGTTTATAATTAACATAAGCCTCTGTGTGTTTACTTGGGATGGAGAGGCTGTGGGACCAGGCAGGAACACAGGAAACCTTCTGACTACATACATACATATGTATGTATGTATGTATGTATGTATGTATGTATATACATACATAAATATATATATATATATATATATATATATATATTGTTTTCTAAGTGTGGTAGAATGAACCTATGCTCACAGCAAAGCCAGAAAGAAAGAAAAAGAAGGGGAGAGGGTAAAGGGGGAGGGCAGGGAGGAGATATGAGGGGGGGAGGGATTTTCAAGAGAGGATAAAGTCACTAACATTAACTGAACATCATTTACCACAGGCCAGTCACTGCTTTTAATCCTTCAACAATCCCAATAATGTGGTATTAAACCATTTTACAATCAAAGAAAATATGGTAGTGTTGTCCACTCCCCTGAGAGGTCTAGGAGAGGACCCAGAAGGAAGCTACCGTGCAAAAGGGTGAAGAAGGGTGGTTAATCCAGTGGAGTCTGGACGCCTGGAGCCTTCCGCAGGGGCTAATCACCAATGACCCCGGCTTCTCTGCCCACCTCCAGACAGGATCTTCTCATCCCCACATGCCTACACCCAGTTTTGCTGAGGCAGGAGGCCACCAAAAGCAGAGTTCCTGCTATGCCAGTCAAAAGTAACTAAGATGCCCAAGCAGATGAGGACCAGCCCAGCCACTCCCAAACGAATGAGGTTTCCCTGAGTATAGTCCGAGGAGCCGGAACCTATGGGCCAAAGAGAGGGAGACAGGATGTTGGTGCCATACCCCAGAGTCTTGATGCTCTTCTGCATATCTGACACACAGATGGAGCTGTAGACTCAACTCCCAAGTCTCTAAATTGAATGGGGTTGATGTCCCTGGACCCTTGGGTCTGAAGACGGCCCAGAGCACCTCACCTTCGGAGCTGATGACCAGTGGCGGGCTGCGCTGTGACAGCACATAGGGAGCAGATGGTGTGTGGTAATAACAACTGTAGGTGCCAGGAGCCTGGGCGCCCATCAGAGGGAAGTCAGCCCAGGGATACACAGAGTCGATGTACTGCAGAGGGGTTGCCACACCCACACGGTACAGCGCAAAACTCATGCCTGGCATGCGGCCTGCACAGCGCAGGCTTATGTTGGCTCCTGGAGCTACCACAGGCCCAGGCAATGCAACCAGTGTTGGTCTGGGCAGCTGATCTGTAGAACACAGGCAAGGCTTTAAGTAGGCTGGCTTGTCTGTCTCTCTTCGCCCTCCCCTTCCTCCTCCCTTCTCTTCTGACTGCCTCTCTTCCCATCCCCCAAACTCACCCTCCTCTTCCCATATGTGGAAGAATCTCTTAATCTACCTCCCTGTCATCTCTCTCCTTGTGTTCCTCTTCCGCGCCACACCCCACCCTCCACCTTAACCTCACTCCCGTGCCCTTCTCCAATTCCTCCCGGATCTCACCTGTCACCAGCAGCTCTAAGACATTGCTGGACTGGGACCAGACACCGGGTGCCCAGTCTGTCCTGCGATAGCGGCAGTAATAACTGCCTCCCTGGGCCAGAGCCACTTCCTCCAGGAAGAATTCAGCCAGCTCCGTGGACACATCCCGGAAGAACAGGGGGGTAACACCACCAGTTCTGAAGAGTGCAAACCGCCAGGCAGGTTGGGGTGCGCGGCACCTCAAAGTCACGTTGACTCCCGGAGTCACAACTGCAGCAGGATGAGCCCCCAGCCAGGGCTTGGGGTTTGAGGCTGGCGGAGCTTAACAAAGAAAAGTGCTTGGGTGCTCAGGCCCCTCCACCCCAGCAGCCCCAGGAGACTTAGAAGAAGGTGCACAGACACCGATCTCTCCTGATCTTAGATCTCTATAAAGGAGGGGAGGGCCTGGAGTAAAATTACAACTGGCCCAAACTAGCTGAAAATCACAGGAGTAAAACTCTAACTTTGAGCTTTTTTTGTTGTGTTTTGTTTTTGAGGAAGGGTTTCTCTGTGTAGCAGCCCTAGCTGTACTGGAACTTGCTCTGTAGACAAGGCTGGCCTAGAATTCACCGAGATCCTCCTGCCTCTGCCTTCTGAGTGCTGGGATCAAAGGTCTGCACCATCATGTCCACCTCTAACTGAGTTTTCTGTTGTGGAATATTTGTTTACACTGTGAAGATGTGTCTTTGCCAACGCACCTTCTGATTAGTTTAATAAAGAGCTGCATGGCCAATGGCTAGGCAGAAAGAGGTTAGGCGGGACTTCTGCGGACAGAGAGGACTCTGGGAAGAAGAAAAGTGGGACACCATTGAAACATGGAAGAGTGGGACACGGAGAATGGGAGAGGGATAAAAGCCACATCGTGGAACATAGATTAATATTTTTTTTTTTTTTTTTTTTGGTTTTTCGAGACAGGGTTTCTCTGTGGCTTTGCACCTTTCCTGGAACTCACTTGGTAGCCCAGGCTGGCCTCGAACTCGCAGAGATCCGCCTGGCTCTGCCTCCCGAGTGCTGGGATTAAAGGCGTGCGCCACCACCGCCCGGCTTAGATTAATTATTTTTTAAAATGGGTTAATTTAAGTCACAAGAGCAAGTGGGACAAGCCTAAGCTAATGGCCAAGCTTTTATAATTAATAATAAGTCTCTGTGCCGTTATTTGTGAGCTGGTGGCCCAAAGGGAAGTCTGACTACAGCTTTTCCCTGTAGTTATTTGTTTGTGCCCAGAAGTGAACCCAGGGCCTTATGCATTGTGGGTAATCACTCACTCTACCACTAAGATATAGCCTCAAACCTTCTTCATATTTTTTTTTTTTGAGACAAGTTCTTGTGTAACCCTGGCAGGCCTTGAACTTGCTACGTAGAGAAGAATGACCTTGAACTTCTGATCCTTCTGGATTATAAGCATGAGCTACCATCAGGACCACCACCTCCCCTCCCCATCTATGTAGTACTAGGGCCTGGTGGGTCTACCAACCAAGCTAAATCCCCAAGCCCTTCTCCGAAATTTTAAGGCATAATTTCAAAGTATAATACCAGAAATGGTTACTTTGTTTTGTTTGGTCTTACTATTACTGTTTTTTTTGTTGTTGTTCATTTGTTTGTTTTGAGACAAAGCCTCACTGTGTAGCCCAGTTTGTTCTAGACCTCACTAGTGGTGCAGGCTGGCTTCAGACTTGTAATCCTTCTGCCTCAGTTTCCAATTGCTAGGCTGACAGCCGTGTACCACCACACCTCACTACAAGCAGTTAAGGTTTGCCACATGTCAATAATTACTGCTATGGTTTGAACATGTTCCCCAGCTTAATCTTTGATATAACAGTGTTGAAAGGTGGGTCTTTAACAGGTCATAAAATAGTGAACTGAAGAGATGACTCAACAGTTAAGAGTGCTTACTGCTCTTGCAGAGGACCTAGGTTTGGCTTCTAGCACCCACACTGAGCAACTTATAACTACTTGTAACTAGTTCCAGGGGGATCTTGACATCTCTGGCCTCTGCAGGCATCTGCACTCGTGTACATATACTCCCACACAGACACAAACACATACACATAATTAGAAAAACAAAAATAAATCTCTTTCTTAAGTAGGTGATAGAACAGTGGGGTACATGTAACCATTCCTCAGTGAGGGCTAGGGGGTGTGACTCAGTGGTAGAACATCTCTCTACCTCGGTGCCTCGGTGAAGGACTGGGAGTGTTGCTCGATGAGAGAGTACTAGCCCACTACGTACAAGACCGTAGTTTCAAACCATCCCTAGTACATATCCAAACAACAAAAACATAACATGGTCAATGACCCAATAATTCCACTGCCTCAGAATACATAGGCAAACTCTTATTTGTAAATAAATTTAAAATGTAAAAATAACTGTAATGATTGGGAAATATCTCCAAGACAAATTGTTAAGTCTAACATTTAAGACCCAGAGCAGAATGGGTCATGAAATACCAATTTTGATCTGGCAAGAGAAGGGGGAAGTGTGTAAATGCGTGATGTGTATGAATGCATGGAAAGCTTTTTGTAGGATCTGAAGCTTGTTTCAGGAACACAGGAAGGGGAAGAGGAAGATTGTTATATCTTTTAGTAATGACTGAGTCTTTATAACAATGAGTACCCATTAGCTGTATCATTTAAAATAATAGCCAGGTGGTGGTGGCACATGCCTTTAGTTCCAGCATTTAGGAGGCAGAGGCAGGCAGCTCTCTGTAAGTTCAAGGCCAGCCTGGTCTACAGAGTGAGTTCCAGGACAGCCAGGGATACACAAAGAAATCCTGTCTCAAAAAAACCAAAAAGAAACTAATAATAGTAATAATAATAATAATTGTCAGGGACAGGACAGAATCTCTAAGGACAGGCAACTAGATCATCTTATAGTCAGGTTGCCTAGCAACAGGACATTGAGGCAGAGCTCTTGACCCTTTCACCCTGTAAACATCCTATACAAACATCCTGTTAGCTTGCCCCACCTTATGCAGATGACAGCTTCTTGCTCCCCCCACCCTGCAGGAACTATATAAACACTCTTGGAGAAAAATAAAGTTGCACCTTGATCAGAATCTAGACTTGGTGTATTTCCTTTGTATCTCCTGTCCCTATCATTCCGTCCTTAGGGTGGTCGAGAACCCGTTGAAGCCCTGCAGGCAGGGCAAATAATAATAATAATAATAATAATAATAATAATAATAATAATAATAATAACAAATTTAAAATCAGGGGACTAGACAGCTGGCTCAGCAGTTAAGAGTACTTGCTCTTTTGCAAGACTGGGCTTTGATTCTCAGCACCACATGGTGGCTCATAACCACCTATAACTCCAGTTCCACAGGATCCTCAGCTTTCTTCTGAGCTCTGCCAGCTCCAGACATGGATGTGGTGCACATACATGCATACAGGCAAAATACTCATACACATAAAATGAAATAGTTAACTGATAACTCAGATATGAATGGCTTCCCAGATGGTTCTCATTCAAAACTGGAGTACAATGGGAGAACGGTTGAGAGAAAGGAAACACCGTCTCCATCAGAAAACCCAAGATGAAACCATCCTGGGGTAGGAGAATTCTCCTTTTACAGTGAGAGAAGCTGGTATAATGGGCATTGCAGGAAATCCTATGTCTGGACTATGCCAGGATCTGAGCTTACAGTTGACCTATATAATCATATTAAATCCTTACTGCAGCCCATTTTCCAGAGAACGAGATGGAGTCTTCAAGACCCTCGTTTGTTCAAGGCCATGCAATGAAGAAGATGGTCTAGTTTAGGTCTCCTTAATATCCACATTCATGGTCTTCTATACTCACCTCTAATGGTCACCAAAGGGATGAAGGGAAGAGAAGGGAGAAGAGAGGGAAGGGAAGGGGCCAAGGAGGAAAGGAATGGAGGAGGGAGAGGAGAAGGAAGGAGGTGAGGGAAGGAGACAGGAGAAAAAGAAGAAAGAAAAGGAACAAGGAAGTTAGAGGAAACGAAGGGATGGAAAGAGGGAGAAGGAAGAGGAGGAGAGGGGAATAAGGAAATCTGGGGTGAAGCTGGGCATCAAAATAAAATGATTTGGTGTGTGAGCAGCATAAAGGAGAGCATTTGGACTGTGCCACTCACCTGTTGGTGTGAAGTCCGTGTGACACACAGGCCCTGCAGAAGGTTAGGAGCCAGTTCTTTACAAAGCCCTTGTGACTACCAGTCTTCCCTCATTGGGAGCCCTAGAGTCTGATTACACAGTTTCTTTTTCCTCTGGGAAATAAGAATCCTATCCCTGTCTTCTTTAGGATCCAGCAGAACTCTAGACTTCCATTCCCCAGGTACTTAAGAAGCCAGTGGTCTGTCCTAAGAGAGCGGGCCTTTGTTCTCCTTCTTGGGGTTTGGAAGTCTGGATGCCCTCCTCTTTCCAGTGCAGGAGTCCTGCCCATCTGTCATGAGAACTGAATATATTCCTTGACCCTAGATATTACTTACTTTCCTCCTCCCTGGAGATCCAGAGAAATCTATGCTCACCCCATACCCAGCAGTCTGTCTTCCTCCATTTAGGACTCGAGTATCTGGGTACCAGTCCTGACTTTTTTCTAAACTGGATGTTGATTCCAGATAATCAGATATGCTCTCAGCCCAGCCAAGGACCCACCCACACACAGGGGAAGGACAGCTCACAGAGAGTCAACAGCTGGAGTATCAGCGACAGGATCATGGCGGGCACTCTCCGTGGAGCTGGGGAAAAGGCTGACCCTGCCTTCTGTCCTCTGAGGAAATGAAGCAGCACCAGAAAGCCATGTGAGAGCCCTGTTTAGGGAAGAGAGGAGTCAGGTGGAGGCCCCTGGGTAACCGTGTCATTGCCCCATTGTCTTGGAAAAAGTTGCACGAGGGACAGTCATAGCCTCCGGTATTCATTAATTCCATTTAAAAGTAGAGGAGGAGGGCTGGGGATGTTGTAGCGAAGGGGGAGACTGCTTGCCCAGTGTGTTCTAGCCCCAGTGGTGAGAGGAGGGGGGAGAGGGGAAGAGGAGAGAAAAAACAAAACAAAACAAAAAGGAGGAAAAGGGAAAAGATCCTTGGTGCACAATATACACTATGCTGGTGAAAAAGAGAAGGCTCAGATTCCATCAGTGCCTCACAGTCCCGGGTCTTGCTGGCTCAAGCTGATAACTTTTTTTTTTTTTTTTTTTTTTTTTTTTTTTTTTTTTAAGTGATGTGCATGGTCTTGGAGGCTCAGGCTTGTAATCCCACCTACTTTGGACAACCAAGGCAAGAGGATCCCAAGTTCAAAGCTTGCGGCACCAACCTGAGCCATTTAATGAAACCCTGTCTGAAAATAAAAACTAAAGATAGGGCGCGAAAATGTGGCAGTCAACAGTAAAGGACTTGCCTAAAATCCACCAGCTACAGCCTAGGGGCGTGGTTCCGTGGTAGATGAGTAGTCTAGCCTGTTCTGGTTTCAATCTCCAGCGAGACTGAGGGGCGGGGAAAAAAAAATGCTGTGAGCTGCATGCTAGTAACATAAAGCACGGAAAGTCCTTAATCTGCCGGGCGGTGGTGGTGCACACCTTTAATCCCAGCACTCAGAAGGCAGAGGCAGGTGGATCTCTGTGAGTTCAAAATCAGCCTGGTCTACAGAGTGAGTTCCAGGATAGCCAGAGCTACACACAGAGAAACCCTGTCTCAAAAAACAAACAAAACAAAACAAAAAGTCTTTAATCTATTTGGTATCAATTTAGAACTTCCAGAATGAGACACTGTCTAGTTGTGACCTTATTGTAAAGCGGATTTTCTTGACGCATTTTTTTTAAGCTAAAGGAAAAAGTTGAGACCAGCAGGTGTGCAAAGTCCTTGTGGTTTAAATCTTTGCCGCCAAGGTTCTCTGTTCTAGTTTAAAACGTCGGCTAAGCCTCACTCGGAAACTACAACTCCCATAAGGCTTCACGCCCTCGCCTTCTTACTCCGCTACTTCTACTCGGAAAGGCACAGCCCAAGGGGCGGAGCCTCGCGCAAAGGAAGGGACCACAACTCCCAGAGAGCTCCGCGCCCTGATCGCCTCCAAGACCAAGATGGCCGCGAGTAAGTACTGACTCGAGAGGTGCGCGGGGCTCAGGTAGTTCCCAGGGATCCGTGGGCTGACCCGTGAATGAGGCTCAGCAGAGCTCTGGGGACGCGGTGGGATCCGTCCCAGAAGAGGGGCGCGGCGGTCACGAGGGTGCTCTTGCAGAGTAGGAGTGGTAGGAGAGGGTTAGAGGTCACCGCAGCAGCCCCCAAGGGTGACTCTTCTCCCACCTCTCTAGGAATCTCCGCCTTCCTTAAGAATGCCTGGGCGAACCAGCCGGTGCTAGTGGTGTCCTTCTCTATCTGGGGTCTCGGTGAGTGCTCCAGGAGCAAATGTGCATCCTCCACCCTGAGAACATCGGCATTCCACAATTCATCTTGCATCCCCCTTGCCCGTTCTGTTCCGACATTACCGTAGCCTCCTTTCCTCACTACCCTACACACACCTACGCAAGACAGCCTCACTTGTACTTTGACTTCGAAGTGCAGAAGTCTGTCTTAGGCAAATCTCCCAGCAAGCCTCTCTGGTGAAGAACCTGCCTTGGGACAGGGCTGTTCACAGTTCAGATGCACTGAAGCCCTGGGGGATGGGGGTGACCTGTTAAGCAAATTCTGATGACGAAGGTCTGGGGTGAGACCTGTAGTTTGGTAGTTATCACAGTCCCATAGTTATTGTCAGTATCGCTGAGCCGTAGTGTGATAATGAAATTCTAAACCCCCCCACCCCCCACCAGCCACCCAGCACCCTAACTTCAAAGACCTAGAATACCCTAAAGTATGTAGTTTTAATGTAGAAAATGTTAAGATACTTATTTGAGGCATACTGATTCGTTCTTTAAATGTAGAATTACATTTGTATGTGTGCTTATCACCAGTTGGTTGTGGAGGTCAGAGGACTACTTGCTGGAGTCAGTTCTCTCCTTCCACTCTGGGGGTCTCAGGGATTGAACTCAGGTTGTCAGTCTTGGCAGCAGGTACTTTGACGTGCTGAGCTCTCTCACAGCTCCAAGGTTAAATACTTTCTAGAACTGATTTTATTTTTACCTTTTCAGTTTGTTTGTTTTTAGATATAGGGGAACACACAATTTATTTAGCCCAAGCTGGCCTCAAACTCACAGCAGTCTGCTTTGGCTTCTCAAGTTTTATTACAGGCACAAGCAAATCTTTGTTTAAAAGTGTGTGTGTGTGTGCCTGTGGAGGTCAGAAGAGGGAATAGGATCCTTTGGAGCAGGAGGTATAGGCAGTTGTAAGCTAATGAACATGGCTGCTGGTTATTGAACTCAAGTCCTCTGGAAGATCAGCAAGTGCTCTTAACTGAGGAGCCATCTCTCCAACACATTTTAAAAATAGATTTATGTATATGTGTGTTTCTGTATGCCACATGTGTGGGAATGCCCACAGAAGCTATATGAGTTTGTGTCAGCAACACTGGTCTATTAACATTCCTGTTGCCAGGTGGCAGTGGTGCACACCTTTAATCCCAGCACTCGGGAGGCAGAGCCAAACGGATCTCTGTGAGTTCGAGACCAGACTGGTCTACAGAGTGAGACCCAGGACAGGCACCAAAAACTACTCAGAGAAACCGTGTCTCAAAAAAAAAAAAAAAAAAATCCTGTTATATACCCACCTCCACTCCCGAAGACTCTTGGCTATAGCCCACATGGGCTAATCCAAAAGCTGTCAACTTGTGACCAGCCTTTGGGCCTCACGTGTTCTTGAGTACTAGGCTCTGACCTCTCTGCTACTCCCCACTTCAAGATTTACACTGACCTCTGATAAGTGGGGATGGTGGAGTGCTGAGGGACACACCAAAGGGCCCTCCTGGTTGTGCTGGCTCTTCCTGCTCCCCTTTGCCAGGGCTCGGTTTCTGCCCTTTCCCTACCCCTCGAGAGCCACTTCATCCTTGGATCTCACATTTATGCCTTTCTCCACAGCTATAATTATGCCCATAATCAGCCCCTATACCAAGTATGCTGGCATGATCAACAGAGCCACACCCTACGTCTACCCAGGTGAGCAGAGACGTGTGCTGGGGGAGGGGCAGGCACAGCTGTGTAGGAGAGTCCCTGCTGCATTTTGGATGTTCTTTGTACTTTTAACTTAACATGTTTTGAGTTTCTCTCTCCAGATTTCTGGTTCTGTGTTCCTCTGTCCCTGTTAGAGATATCTCCCTCATTTGGCTGTCTCTGCCGCTGCTGAATCTCTGGCCCTTACTCTCCTCTTTCTCACCTGGCATCCAATACTGTCTCTGAATATATAGAGACAGACTACCTCTTCTCTACAGGACCCTAGAGATCTGCTGATCTCAGTGGCTCATCCTTTTATTTCACAGTGCCTGTACGAGATAATGGGAACATGCCGGATGTGCCCAGCCACCCCCAGGACCCTCAGGGCCCAAGTCTGGAATGGCTGAAGAACCTGTGAATACTCCTGCTGATGGAAGAGGCCCCCTTCCCTGTTGCCCCCCAATAAAAATGTGAAAACCAACCATACAGTCTTTTCCTTGGTGAGTTTCTTTTGTTGTTGTTTTGAGAGAAGAAAATCTCACTATTCATGTAGGCTAGGCCGACCTGGGACTCAAGTGTGTAGCCAGGGTGGCCTCACACTTATGGCAATCTTCTGCCTGGGCCTCCAATCCCAGAATCTGAGTGTTTCAGGGATGGGAGCAGTGGACAGTGGCCTAGACAAGTATACATGGGGAGTCTGTTTATTGGGGAAAGAGGATTAGTCAAAGGGTGGGCTGGCTAGGGTAGGGTAGGACAGCAGTTTGTCCGGCCCTCGAGAAACCCAACTTGAATCCAAGGCCTCATCTGCTTCAAAGCCAAAGTCTTCCTCAACCTTAATCTGGAAAGATAAGCAACAAGATGTGAGTGGATATGGAGACCTAGGAGACGTACCCCGCCCTCAACACATGCACCCAATCAGCCTGTGGGCACCGGTTTCTGGGCCATTCACTTTCCAGCAGCCCTGCCTGACAAGTATCCCTCAACTGACTTCCTCTGTTCCCACTGTTCCCACATCTAGTCATTTTCTTCTTCAAACTCTAGCCTAAATTTTCCAACTCCTCTTCCCTGTCCTACCTGACTTTAATCCTGATGCCACTCTGCCCAGCCCTCCCCCAGCCCCAAACCCCTCAAAACCCAGCCCAAGATTCTCACCACGCCTTGGCCCCAGCCCTCGGCTCCCACCTGTACTGGGGCCAGTTCTGGGGTCAACGAAGCCCCCACCCGTGGTGCCCTCCGCCTCTTCCGCCCACTGGGCCCCTCGCCAGGGGCTGGACTGCTGGGGTCTAGGGGTGCAGGTGTCCTTTGGGGTGGGGAAAGCCCCTCTTTCTCTGGAGGCTCGTTCTCAGCATTGCCTGGGGTGGGGACATCTGTGCCTTGGCTGCCATCATCCTGGTAAGATGCACATTGGAGGCAGTTAAAGACTTAACTGGACTCCCCACTCCCCCAACCTGCCTGGAGACCAGAGCTCACCTCCAACACAATGGTGAACTGGCTAGCCCGGTAGTCATCCCCATAGGAGTCCAGCACCCTCATGAGGAACCTGTGTGGACAGAGATGCAGGCTCTGTGGCATCGTATCTTCTGGGGGAGGGAAGTAACATCATAAAGTCCAGATCTCCCTTTACTTTAATCTAAAGTTGTCCCAAATTAGAAAGGTTTGGAGCTCTGCGGCCTCAGAGCATAGCCTGGGAACCTGTCTGACCCAAAGTCTGTGAATGATAGGTTGCATACTTTCCCGATCTCTAAAGTACACAGTGTGATTGTCAGCATTGGCAAACATTCAGTTGAATTCCAATTTTGTTGTTGGTAATGAAGACTGAATCCAGGGCCTTGAACATGCTTCACAAGTATTGCACCGCTGAGCTAGGAGAACCAAACTTCTTATTTATTTATTCATTTATTTGTTTTTGAGATAGGGTTTCTCTGTGGAATAGCCTTGGCTGTCTTTGCTTTGTAGACCAGGCTGGCCTCGAACTCAGTGAGATTCACCTACCTATGTCCCATGAGTGCTGGGATTAAAGGTGTGTGCCACTACACCTGGCTCCAAACTTTGTTTGTTTGGTTTTTTTTGTTTTGTTTTGTTTTGTTTTTGTGACAGGGTCTCATGATCTAGCCCTGGCTGGCCTTGAACTTACTATGAAGAACAGGCTGGCCTTGAAGTTACAGAGATACACATGCCTCTGCCTTCCAAGTGCTGGGATTAAAGGTGTGCACCACCATGCTTGGTCTCCAAACATTTTTTGTTTTGTTTCTAAGACATTGGCAGACTCAGCACCAAATAAAACAGTACGGAGGAACGCACCTGTAATCCTAGCAAGAATTACAGTCAGGCAGGAGGATCAGAAGTACAGGGTTAGTTTGAGGCCGGCCTGGGCAACAGGAGACCCTGACTTGGGCGGAATGTGGGGTGTGAGAAAAGCTAGCTGAACAGAGGAGGGCATGGCAGAAGAACACCTCTGGCAGTAGGAGACCGTGTCAAGGCACTGAAGTGCTGCGGGGCTGTTGAGTTCTACATAAAGCAAGCCACCCAAGCCAGGCCACACTGGCTCTCATGAGGATGCTCACTCTCACTATGCCAGTGAGGGCACTGAGAGGCTGTGAGCAGAGGGATAGGCTGTCTGTCTGTTTTTCAAGACAAGGTTTCTCTATATAGTCCTGGCTGTACTGAAACTCGCTCTGTAGACCAGGCTGGCCTTGAACTCAGAGATCCTCCTACCTCTGCCTCCCGAGTGCTGGGATTAAAGGTGGGCGCCACCGCCTGGTTTGTCTTATATTTGAAGATTGTGTGCCCAGT